TCCATGAACACCAACCAGCAGTCAGAAGACACAATGAAAACTCCTTAATCTCACAACACATCGACAGACTTAACCATAGTTTCAACTCGGAAACTGTCAGCATCTTAGACAAAGCTAAATCCAAAAATGCGAGGGAATTCCTGGAAGCTTGGTGTTCAGACAAGGCAGCCATCAACAGGCACAAAAATGCGAGGGAATTCCTGGAAGCTTGGTGTTCAGACAAGGCAGCCATCAACAGGCACAAAAATGCGAGGGAATTCCTGGAAGCTTGGTGTTCAGACAAGGCAGCCATCAACAGGCACATAAACAACATCTACGCACTATTCAAAAGAGAAAATAAAAAGGAAAACAAAAGACCAGAACATCTCCTCACCAGCAATCATCACCCAGTGCGAGGGAATTCCTGGAAGCTTGGTGTTCAGACAAGGCAGCCATCAACAGGCACATAAACAACATCTACGCACTATTCAAAAGAGAAAATAAAAAGGAAAACAAAAGACCAGAACATCTCCTCACCAGCAATCATCACCCAGATAAGCAGAGATTAACACCAAGATTATCACCAGACATATAATCAGCAGTAAACAATACCCTAATCAAGGAACTACCAGAGGGAAAAAATAAAACAAAACAAAACCCACACCAACACTGGCAGGGCATGCCACTGTATATAACCCCACCCCATTCTAGCACTGAAGATGTTACATGGCCGGGTAACGAAACGTTCGTAAGAAAACAGCCAAGCTCAGGGAACCCCAAGGACTCCACAGTTCAACCCTGAGCTACACATACTGTACTCATTTCTATTGGCACTATTTATAAGAAATGATTATCCACCTAACACATGCAGATTCTATGATGGCCATTCATTATTTGTGCCAGATATATCAATAACTTGTTCCCAATCACTTGAGAATCAGCCATTTCTTCCTCCCAATGATGGGGTTTAAGTTTACTTTCAAGTGAAATAATACAATCAAGTTAACCACCTGATTTCCATGGGGTAATATCTTCCAGAAAATTCCTTCATACTATAGAAATCAGTGCAGCATCCACAATATTGGTGTTTTATGACTACAGCAATCCTAAATTGTCAATAAGAAGACTACTGTATTCTGCACCAAGTGCAGTTTTTGTATGGTCTTCAGTGGCAGCCCTATGTAATCCATTACAATCATCCAGTTACCAATAAGTTTGTCTTTTTAACAGTGCCATGTTCAAGTACCAATGTGGGATATGCAAAGCACATGAAATATTTTTACTTTAAAATGCATTTAAATCTTTAATTTTACTTCCAGATAATTTTGGAAAAGTAATGTCTCAAGAGCAGTCAAACACACTACTATGCATATAAATATAATCTCAGATAAAAATAGAAGTGTCACATAAAGCTGAATTCCAAAAGTAGTATCAGAATCTGCAATACTTATGTGAACAAGACATCGGTATTATTCTTTATTCATGCATGTTAAATGTCAAAGCAGACTGTACTTACAAAATGAAGTCTGGGAGCTTGTCCTCAAAACTCTGAAACAAGGAACGGATTAAAAGATTAGTGCGGCTCGTCTGGTTTATTATGCCTTACTGTATTTTTTGTTAAAAATACATTTGGTCAGGTACAGTGCATTATATCTTATGACTCATTCTAACCCCCAGAACTGAGCTTAAAATGCATAATAAATTTGTCAACTCTAATTCAAATCTGCAGCGTTACCACTACAAAATATATTTCTATTTAAACTCTATTATCAGGAATTCAGGAATCTATATTATCAACGTTAATGTTTTTACTTTATAATGAAAGCTAACATTAAAAAACAAACCATATGCTGCTTACATTTAGGGTTAGGGTTAGGGTGCTCCAAAGATATGTCTTAAATTACCAGCAATTTAAGAGCAGGCAAAACTCATAGAAAGAAAAGATTAATTCAAAAGATTACCATGTGCAGAGGAATACTACATCTGTGCTGCAGTGCTCAAAGATCTTTTGTATCAACTGGAAATTGACTGGATACAGAACAGAAAAAGAGGATTGAGTCTATCAAAGTGAAGATTCACCAGGCCCTGTTTTACACAGTGTCTTACATAGCTTTGTATCTGCACAAAGGACTTTTGTCCATGTCCAGAACTCTCTCAGTATTTCGATGGTGGGATACTATTCTGCTGTATAAGCTATGGCCCAGTATACACAATGTTCAATGTGTGATCACATTTATATATTTTAATTTCTTTAAAATAGCAACCATATATTACCTGTCTCTGGCAGAATTCCCTAAACTGGATTCCCTAAACTCCTAGGATTCCTGGGCAAAATGGGAGTCACATTTCCAACCTATCTAAAAGACAGCAGATTGGATAAAGTTTTAACACTACTACATAGGGAAGGAGGAAGAAATGAACCCTTCCCTCATCATCTTTCCTGATGAAACTCTACACATCCATAAAATGCAATTGCTTTTTGTTCCAGTAGTAACTTTGTTTTAATGTCATTATTTGTGGGGGAAAAAGAACAAATTAAAATTACTACTGAAAAAAGAAGAAAAAGAAATCATATACTGTTCAAGAAGTCTCACCATACCATGCCACAATTTACTATTCAAAAAGGCTCTGCACTATTCAAGAAATTCATACCATACAATGCAATTTGTTTATTTATATATGTCAGCTTACCTAACTTCAGAAGAAATTAAACATATAGAACAGATTCCTCACTACAGGCCATTCAGATATTCGAGAAAAAGAGGTAAGTTCTTCAGACCACTATATAATTGACAGAGATTGAGCCTCCTTCCATTCTTCTATTATCAAGCTTTTTGCAATTTAAAAACATTCAGTGTTCATTTGTTTTGTCTTCAGATACATTTCCTTACCATTGGCATAGTGTCCAAAAGAGCATGAACATCTACCAAAATGCCTGTGTCTTCCAAAACAAGGTTAGTACATGGGTTCAGTTCTACCTGACCGAGCCATGATGGCACAACATGCTATCATATATAAGAGCTGCCCAGACTTGTGTTTTAAGATGGGCGGCCATACAAATCTTTTAAATAAATAAATACACACACACACAGACTGGAGAGTTTAACACTAAGTAATCAGCTCAAGGCTGAAACCTTTATTGTACAACAAATACTTTGATGCAATCCACAGCAGGTTTTTTTCTAATGTTAAATTCAATTCTGGATGAAAATGTCAAATAATCTTATCCTTGTAATACTGCCATCATAAATCGTAATTAATATTGATATAATATTTCTTTTTCCTTTCTTTATATCCAATACTCTAAGTTATCTAAACAACAGTGTCAATAATCTTCCATTTTTATGATTGGTCACACAGTCAACCAGAGGTTGAGACTGGATTTGGCATTTTTATCCACCTATCGAGTCCTTCCCAAGGACCTGTGGCAGATGTTGTTTAATAATATTAAAAGTATCATCGCAGGATAAAAGCTGTTCCAAGTAAAGCTGCCTTTTGTAATTGACTGATGGTGATTTTATCAGTGCCAATGGTCTTCAAGTGGGGCTCCAGATGTTTTGGAATTGCACCCAAGGCGCCTATTGCTATTGGTACTATCTTTGCCTTCTTTTGCCAGAGTCGTTCTACTTCTGTTTGCAGGTCTTTGTATTTTGTGATTTTCTCCAGTTCTTTCTCTTCTGTTCTGCTGTCTCCAGGTATTGCAATGTCCACTATTCAGACTTTTTTGTCTTTCTTATCAACAACTGTTAAGTCTAGGGTGTTGTATGGCAGATGCTTGTCTGTTTGAATTCTAAAGTCCCAGAGCACTTTAGCTTCTTCATTTTCTATTACTTTGTCTATTTTGTGGTCCTGCCAATTCTTGCTTGCAGGCAAGTGGTATTTCTTGCAGATATTCCAATGCACCATTGTTGTTACTTTGTCACGACGCTGCTTGTAATCACTCTGGACAACCTTCTTGCAGCAATTCAGTAGGTGGTCCACTGTTTATTCAGCTTCTTTTGCGGTCTGTTGCTGTCTTCTCAATTC